ACTCAGTATCGGAAAGAAAAGATGAAGAAGAAAGACTTATAATCTTAACACTGTTGAAGAGAGAAGTAATTCTTCAGTATGAATACACAATTGTCTTATTATAAATATTTAAAATAAATATAATAATCAGTGTATGTAACTGAGCTTTAGATAGTCATGTTATACACAGTCTTTATATAATAAATTATTCTAGACATCAGCAGAAAGAGTGAGAGTGTATATACTCAGAAACATGATTTATCAAGTCTATGCAATATCTTCTTGAAATGAGAAGAGTTAATAATAACAGTAGAAGTAGCAGAGACAGAGAGAGTAGAAGTAGCAGAAGCATAAGTAGTGAGAGTGAGAGTAGTGAGAGCAGAGATAGCAGGAGCAGAAGAATCAGATACAGAGGTAAGTGTAGAACATTTAAGAGAAACAGCAGAAGAGGTGAGGAGAAACACAGAAGACTCAGTTATATATAACACAGACAATTTCTTCATTATCACATTCTTCAAGTTCTCAATCAACAATTCAATATTGAGGCATTCACTATTATCTGCAGATGCAAATCTGTTAATATATGAAGATTCTATAAAAATAAAAACAAACATATCAGCATCTGTGTCCACACAAAATCATGTCGGGAAAACACAATCAGATGCTCACTGAGAAAAGAGTTAAGAATGTATAAGAAGATGAAGAAGATAAATCATTCATGATAATATATTCTAGTGATTGTTAGAAGAAAAAGAAGTTCTGACCATGTCTCATAACATATTTAACTTACTGCTAATGAACTGTCTGATACAGACACTATAATAAAGCTTGTTATAAGAATGAGAGATTATTGCCAGAAATGCATATAATATAATAAATAAACAGATAGACAGTGTTGAACAGAAGAAGAAGCAGAAATATTATGCAAGATAATAATATTCAATGATAATGATGATGAAGAAGATGATTAAAGAATGAAAAAAGTGAGTGAATAAGTAATATAATATAATGAAAGTTTCTTTATAAGAGTATATACAGAATGCTAGCTGAATCAGAGATAGACTACATAATTATAAACACTAGCAGCACACTAATCTGCATGAAGCTAGAGCTTATGTTATAATTATATAAGTGTGACTGAATCTGATAAGAGAGAATGTGATTCAGAAGAATGTACAACTGCTGAATAATAATACAGCTGCTTCTGAACATACTTACAAATGTAAAAAGAGGCTCTAGCAGACACTAATTTAGTATGATGTATATAAGAAGCCGGTGTATGCCTGTAATTAGACTGACTGTGTGACCGTGTCTGGAACCAGGACCAGATTTTTTGATAGTCTCATTACCAATTCGACCGATTCCATTACACGGTTTTAACATTAGATAGTAGTTTCATACTGTCTCAGTAAGACTTACTGTCTACTCTTGTCACATTTTTCAAATGAGATCATGATTTCCACTTCTCAATTTAAATTATTTTTATTGCTTTAAATGACTTTAAATCTCATTTGAGCATTATCAAAAAGTGTTACTTTTTAAAAAAATTAAAAATAGTCTAAAGAAAACCTTAAAATGTTTAAAAATAGTAACTTTATGTCAAGAATGAGACTAAATGAGACCAAATGAAACCACTTTCTCATTTTTTTCAAGTCATGGTTCCATTTTAAGATCTCATATATAGTCACTTTGCATGTTTTTTTAATGACTAGTCTCAGCGGGATTCACGCCAAGAAATGTATGAGACCAGACCAAATGAGACCAAATGTGAAATTCATGGTCTCAGCGGCCAGTCTACCTGTAATTGTATACTGACTCAAGCAATCTTTGAATCACACTGAAATATTCTAATTTTATATATCTGAAATTGATAAATGTATAATAATTAGCTTTACAGATACTAGAAAAACTGTGAGAACTAAAAGTTTTCAGATAAATATTATAGTCTCTGACTATATACATCTATAATAAAAGAATAATAATAATAATAAAGAGAGATAATAATAAAATAAAAATATTAAAAGATAGTATATAGCTATTTTAACAGACTATATCTGATCAATTTTCATCTCTTCATATTCAGATATTTCTGAATTCAGTTATTTTCTTATAGCTGCTTGAGTTTCTGATAGAAAGTTTATTAAGTATTTAATTTCTGTCTCAGTTGAGAATAAGAACATTATATTTAATTGATTTAAATTATATATCTCTTTTAATCTGACTCTGAGATAATTATATAATATATAATATATTACAATATACTTAGAATTTTCATTTGTATTACAGAATGAGTGTAAGAGGCCTACGCCGAATAGATCAGTATGATATTGATAGGTCTTATATAACAAAGAGAAAAACATTGAAGAAGGAAAGAAAGAGAAAGTGTGAGAATCAGTGATTAAAGTGAATATTTATACGCGTATGTGATGACATATGCAGTGAAGCTTCAGAGTGAAAGAATCTATACATGTTCATAACAGCTGAGAATTGGTAATTGAGAATGACTGAGAATCAGAGTGTACATGTTTAAGAATGAAGTGATTGAAATCTGTGAAGTGTAATGAAATAGTCTATATCATTGATCAGATACAGCCTGTCACATTAGTTCTCTCTTTTCAGAAGCAGTTCTCATCAGTCAAGAGCTGCTGTTTCAGATAATACAGAACTTGAAGTTCAGGTTGAGTAATCATACTCAACTCATTTCATGAGATATTATCAGCTGTGACTGTGAGGTCTCTCATTGAGAATATTCTCAATCTCTCACTCAAGCTCATTATCTTCTTCTATGATGCCTGGCAGCTGTCAGTCAGAAGTCAGTTGAGAAGAGAATGAGTCAGTCACAGTGCAGCAGAGCAAGCTTGTATAAAAGATATTATAAATCTCTGATGATATGTTAAGACAGTAGTTATAGCTATCTAAAACTTCTATCACTTTATACTTTGTATGACAGTAATTCAGTGTGCAGGATGAGTGTGTGATTTATATATTCTTAAGATTCAATTATATCAGATCTTCTATCTTATATTGTTCAGCAGAGTCTCAGTGAATATTAATTCAATCTTCTTAATTCTGTTTAGTGATTGCTATGAAGGCTTCTACTCAATCACAGATATCTTGAAGTTTTATTACTATATTATCAGCAATCTGAATTGAACTGTAGAGGTTTGATATGAACTGTGTGATCTCTAAAAGATTCAACACTTTCATATGATAACTGTATATAAGAAAGAACAGACTTATATCTGTTAAGATAGCATCTTAATCATTGATAGCAATCTCTGTATGTAGAAGAAGATCATATCAATCATCTTATAAGTAATTATAGAACTTATAAAGATAATTCTTTACAGTCTGAATTATTTATTCTGATGTATTATCTGTCTCAGAGTGATAGACAGTTAATAAATAGTGTATAATCTTAAGAACTTGATAGATTCTTGTTCAGAGAGTACTTACAAATTGACAGCTCTAGTCTAATACTATAGATCGCAGTAATTCATACATTCAATAGAACAGACTTCTTAGAAAAGCTTCAGTGACTTGTTCAGTATTTATCTTATCACAGAGTTTTAATATTATATTCTTACTTAATTGATTTATAATGATCAGAATGTTTCTACAGCTCTTACTCTCAGAGAGATTAATAGTGAAGTCAATTATCACATCTCATCAGATTCTATCAGAGATATCAAGCAGTTTCAGCAGGCCTTTTCTACAGTTCTTTTATAAGATGATAGAGAAATAATAGTTACAGTTTCAGATAAAATATCTGATACTATTTAATATCTCAGATCAGTAGAACTTCTGAGAGATTATTTAATGCAGTTATTTACAATCTGAATAACTGATTATACATAAATCATGTATCTTTTGTATTATCTGAGTGTGTAAGGGTTCAGAGTAGAGAACTCAATATCACTTGTGAAACTGTAGAGTGTTATTATCATCAATTGAGTATTCTGAGATGTCAGTTCTTATACATAGTTCTGAGAGAAATCAGAGTGCTTCTTAATATACTGCTTCAGTGAGTACTTGAAGAAGTTTATCAGTTCTGAGCTGTTACATGTTATAATTCATTCAGTGTAGATTTGAGAGAAGTCAAGATATCAGTGTCAGTGCCAGTGTCAGTGTCAGTGACAGTTTGAAGAGAGAGTGTTCTAATCAGAGAAGTGTATATAGTGTTATAAGTTATTTCATCTTCATTAACTAATATCTTCAGATCTAGAAGTCAGTGTTCTCAGTTTATTCAACAGATATCTGTTATATTAAAAGACATATCTTACTCTTATTATGAGAGAGTATCTGTTATCAAGTTCTGACTGCTAAGACAGTAGTGTATTATAAAATGAAACTGACTTAAGAACTCAGATCATTGTATCTGTTATTCAGTGAGTTTATAAATAGTTGTGAAGTACTTGAGATTCTTATAATCTGTGATTATCTTAAATTCAGAGATACTTCAAAGTTCAGAGTCTCATTCTTCTAGATAGTATATAATTGTAAGAAGTTTCTTATTATAGATCTCATACTTGCATTCAGTAGAACTCAGTTTCTTAGATATGAAAATGCATGATTATAAGTCATCTTCATTATTATATTACAATATAGCTCTCTCTGTAATATAGTCAGAGAAGTCAGCTTCAATAACTGTTTTATAATCAGATTTAAATATTATTAGCAGAGAGATGTTGATGAATATCTTCTTCATCTATATAAATACAGCTTCAGTGTTCACTGATCACTGAAATACTGAGTTCTTTCTGATAAGTTCTGTAAGTAATCTTATAATATCTGAGAAGTTTTGTATAAATCACTGATAAAAGTTAGTAAATCTGATGAAGCTTCATACATCTTTCACAGTATATAAAGCTTCTCATTCAAGAATAGCAGAGACTTTCTCAGAATTCTTTCAAATTCTCTTATCAGCTTCTATGATAAAACCTAGATATTTAATACTCTTAACTTCAAAGTCATACTTGTTAATATCTATTAATAGTTCTGCTTCTTGTAATCATTGTAATACTCTTTGCATATATTCTTGATATTCTTTTCTGAACTCATTAGTAAAGATAAGAATGTCATCAAGATATACAGATATAAATTTATCAAGAAAATTTCAGAGTGTTTAGTTGATATACTTCTGAAATGTACTGAGAGTATTGATCAGTTCAAAGAGTATAACTATTCATTCAAAGAGACTATAATATATTCAGAATGCTATAAGTCATTCATCTTCTTCAGTGATACAGATTTTATACAACACAGTAATAATATCTAGTTTTATAAATTATTAAGCTTGTCTGATACAAGCTAGAGTTTCATTGATAAGAGATAAAGAATAGCAGTTCTTCTTAATTAATCTGTTCAATTCTTAATAGTTCACACAGAATCAGAGTTCTTCATCTGATTTCTTTGCAAAGAGAATAGAAGCTGCAGCAGAAGAGTTACTAATATATATGAATCTCTTATTTGACAGATTATTAAGTGTCTTCTAAAGAAGAAGAAGTTCATCTTAAGACATATTATAAAGAAGATCTCATGATGACTCAGAGTTCTTATCATTCTTCTTTTTTAACTTGATACTGTGATCTACTTCTGAGCCTCATAAGAGAGGTATATTTATAGTGTTGTCTTGTCAGAAGATATCTAGATATTCATGATATTATTGAGAGAGTTTTGTATAAGAATCTGTTATTATAATGCAGGATAACTTTTCTAGAGCCTTTTTGATATCAGTCAGACTGACAGAATAGATTGTTATATCATTCTGCTATTAACAATTCTTTCAGTGACTTCTTTTTCTAAGCATTTCATAGACATTGACAGAGATCTGTATCAGGTTCATAGTCTTGTAAATATCATTCTCATGAATTCTATTATTATTAGGGAATATTAAACTCCTGTTGCAAGTGTTCAATAAGATGCCTTGTTCAGATAGCCAGACAAGTTCTAATATAAGATTATAATCAAGATTATCAACTTCATATGCATAGATGTCTTCACACTGATATTCTTCAATATCTATATAGTTTTATCATGTAGCAGGTGCAAACATCTTTTGAATTATTGAATTCTGTAAGAAGTCAGAGTTTTAATAAGAGAATATACTGAAGGTTATAATATCTTACAACTGAAGATTTAATCATTGCATAGTGACATAGATCACTGTCTATTATGACTTTCATATTATACATGTTATTAATCACAGTAGATATAAGAATTGTATTCATTGTTATTTTCTCTTCAAATTATTGTCATTCAATCTCTTCAAGCTTCTGTTTACAAATTTGAATAAAAGCTAATCTTTTCTCTGTTTCACTGAGACATTCTTATAGTTATCTTCTGAATCTTTCTTCACTGCAATGTGATTAGTATGAACAGACACTGATTCATATTCTGATCAGTTACAGTTGATGTATACTTCACATTGATGTTGATCAGCAACTTCTTCAGAAGTGATTTCAGAAACTTGCAAGTCTGTTTGAATGATGGAAACTCTTGCTTATGTGTAGACATTCAAGTCTACTCAATTCATAACATCTGCATCATTATTATTCTTCGGCACAGATGTATGAGTATAACATCTTCTGTCACTGTTCTGTATACTCTTGAGCTTGATAAGACAGTCATTCAATGTCTGAAGTTGTATGCAGAAACCTTCATAAGTCTGGTCTTTGTCTACACTTATAAGAGCCTGTAAGAGTTCAAGAGTTAATGCCTTCTTGAGTATGTTAATCTTTATTCAATTCTTTCAAGATTGACCACCTGCTTCTAGAATCTTGATGTCAAAGTCAGAGATGAATATTGTGAGAGAAGTGTTTCTCTATCAGATACTCTGTAATCAATTTAACACTTTCTGTTGTATAACAGTGTCTCAGAACAGAATATCAAGATATTTGATAATATTATCAGATATTCACAATGCTGGTTCACATGCTTTCATTCATGAATGAAACTTCTGTTTCACACAATTCTTCAATTATTCATTGATATATCAATCTTGATTAGTTAGTGAATCAATGATATCTTCATTCATACTCAGTTTCATGAGCATTTTCATCCTTCATGATGAGTAGAGAGTGAGATCAGAAGTATTAAAATATATAGAAGCATCTAAGCATTCTTTCAGTGCTTTTATACTTGATTCTGTAGGTGTTGAAATTTTCATGAGTTTCTTGTTATAATAATCATTGAATCTCTTCATATTGATGTTGTTGAGTTACATGCATATCAGCTATTTATTACTGTTGTAATTTCAACATTGCTCAGAGTCACTGTGATATCACTTTTATACTCATGTTTAACAGTTCTCTTATATTGTCATTAGACATGTTGTTCATTGAGTGTATAATATCTGTGAAATCTTGAAGAAGTGTAATTGTATGAATATCTCATACATCTGAGTGTCAGAACTCTCAAGTCTTTTACTGATATTCTCTTGTAAGATCTTATTACAGAGTCAGAGTAACTGATGAGCAAGCTTCTATCTGAGAACTCAGTATTCACTTAACTGTGTTTCTCTTTCTTACATATTATTACATGTTCAAATATCTCTTGATGAATAATTATTCCTAATGAGAAGATAATATGTGAATAATCATTTCTAATAAGAAGATTATGAACATTTTTCTAGTATAAGAGGCCTACACTGAATAGATTGATATGATATTGATAGGTCTTATATAACAAAGAGAAAAATGTTAGAGAAGAAAAGAAAGAGAAAGTGTGA